AATACCCACCTATCAGAGGAGACAGAATAATTTTCTATGTACATGTAGTCTAGGGTCAATCAGAAACTGACCAAACAACATTCTTGACATACAATTCACTGCATCTTTCTGGCAACAAGCTGCAGTATATGTTTAAAGCTAGGAATAGTGATGGGAACGCACAGGAAGGCTCGTATATCCAAATGGAAGGCTTTGTTGTTGTTGTTGGTCGTGGGGCTTTAAGTCTGGGCCTGGGCAATGTCTCTGAGCATTTCAGCTCAAGGCAAGCACACACACACACACACACACACACACACACACACACACACACACACACACACACACACACACACACACAGGCTGTAAAATTGTCTGGCCTACAAGTAATATGTTAGTATTCATATCCTGGGGTCACTGGGACCCACAGAACACAGAACAAGAAATTTCATCTGAGTTTCACTCTTAATAAAATACATAAATCATCTAGGAACTTGTGGCTCTTGCCTATAATCCTAGCTATTCAGGAAGCTGAGATCTCAGGCTCACAGTTTGAAGTCATTCCGGACAGACAAATCTAAGAAACTCTTATCTCTAATTAACCAGCAAAACCCTCAAATGGGAGGTGTGACTCAAGAGATAGAATGAAAAGCCAAGTGAGAGTACGAGGTTCTGAGTTCAAGCCCTAATAAAACATCAGACAATTTGCATGCAAGTCAGAGTTTTTTCTTTTTCTTTTCGTCTGACTCCATGAATTTATAAAGTAGGATGCATTAGGGAAGGCCAGGAGAATGCTATCTTGAAAGTGTATGTGGAGTAATTTCAAAGACTTGCATCAGTGGAATTCCTGCAAGATTCATTAGAGCCTGAAGAGTGTATGTACAAAGGTCCAATATTCACAACACTTCAGACACTGGCCATAAAACTCCTGCCAATTATGAAAGATTGATGATTAACCTTACAAAATAGTATGTGTTCGGAATGCATAGAAATAGAACCACAACTAGTTTTTTTTATTTGTGTGTGCCATCTTGGAGCTTGAACTCAGGGCATAGCCACTGTCCTTGAACCTTTATGCTAGTGCTCCACTACTTTGAGCCACGGCTCCATTTCTGGCTTTTTGGTAGTTAATTGGAAAGGAGTCTCACAGACATTACTGCGGAGGCTGGCTTTGAGCTGTGATCCTCAGATCTCAGCCTCCTGAGTAGCTAGGATGACAGGAGGGAGCCCTTCATTGCCCGACACAACCAGCGTTTTATTCATTTTGAATTTGAGAAAGATAATACACAAGTTTGTAAGAGCAAAATACATGGTTTGTGATCATTTTAGCCACTCAGCCTCTGGAACTTCTCCCCATATTAGCATTCCCTAACTTCCCAGATGTTAGCACAGATAATTGCCTTCTCACGCTTCATAACTAACAAGCAGGACTGGAGTTCACCATTCAGATCCACTGGTCATCAGATCTGTGACTTGGGAGCCAGGAATTAAAAAACAAAACAAAACAAAACTCAGAAGCAGCAGCAATGGCAACCCCAGTGCAGAAATAGTAATAACCAACCTAGAATGACGGCACCTGCCCCCACTCGGGACAAGTCGGCCACTGTGCTGTTGGGAAATAAAGCTTCAGGCTCACAACTAGCAGCTGGGCTGTTAGGGTGGCAGTTGTGGGATTTCATTTCTTGCTGAGAGTCATCTCAACTTTCTTTTTGGGAGTTACTGGGATTTGAACTCAGGGCGGTGTCCTTGCTAGACAGGTGCTCTACCATTTGAGTCACTCCTCCAGCTCAGCATCTTTTCTATTTTTTACAGAAATATTGCCCATTATATAAAATCCATAGACTATGAAAAGGTCAGTGTATATGTTTCCATGTGCATGCATGAATGCACATGCACACGCGCACACACACACACATTTTATAGGTTTGCTAATGAAACAGGTATCATATTACATAGTTTTGTGCTTGTCCTTATACTGATCTTTTGTTTTGGTACCAGTCCTGGGGCTTGAACTCATGTCTGGCTGCTGCCTCTGAGCTTTTTGCTTAAGGCTAGTGTTCTACCATTTGAATCACACCTCCACTTCTGGATTTTTGTACGTGTGAGTACATAAGTGTACATCGTACATAAGTACAATTGTGCATAAGTGTCTCAGAGAGTTTCTTGCCCAGGTTGCTTTCAAACCATGATCTTCAGATCTTAGTCTCCCAAGTAGTTAGGATTACAGGTATGGGCCACCGACCCCCAGTGACAATGCATTTTTGATGCCTTTCATACTAATATTACTATTAGTAACATTTTGGGGGCTGGGAAGGTGGCTCAATGGTAGTGCTTGCCTTGCATGCCTGAGGCCCTGGGTTTGATTCCTCAGCACCACATAAGCAAAAAGAAAAAAGACGGAAGTGGTGCTGTAGCTCAAGTGGTAGAGTGCTAGCCTTGAGCTGAAGAGCTGAGGGACAGCGCCCAGACCCAGAGCTCAGGCCCCACGACCGGACCCTCCCCCCCCCCCCCAAAGAAAGTAATATTTTGTAGTCAGAAGCTTCAACAAATACCCTTGTGTAGAGAATTTGAGGTGGCTGGTAGCATAGATCAGTGATAGAGCACTTACCTTGCGTGCGTAAGCCTCACCACAAAGAACAAGCACCCCAAATGCCCCAATAAAAAAATCAAACTTTTGGTATATCTCTCCTGATTATTGCTTCAAGATAAATTCTAAAGCAATAGCAGAAATTCTAAAACATCTATTCTTAGATGGCAGATCATGACCAGTGAAAACAGAATCTCTTAAGGCTGTTCAATCATAAAATGGTTTCTCAGGAGCAGATCTTCTGGTGACCTCTGGGAGGTGTTGAATATCAAGCATTGACATGGAACTTTTATAAAATGGAAATTTCAGATAGAAAAGTATTTTTATTGATTTATTTTGCTGGTCCTGGGGGTTGAATTCAGGGCCTGGACACTGTCCCTGAACATTTTTGCTCAAGACTAGTGCTCTGCCACTTGAGCCACATCTTACTTCTGGCTTTTTGGTGGCTAATTGGAAATAAGAGACTCATAGTCTTTCCTACCTGAGGTGGCTGTGAACCATGATCCTGAGGTCTCAGCTTACTCGTGTGAGCCAGTGGTGCCTGGCTCAGGAAAATATTTTTTTTTTTTTTTTTTTGTCGGTTGTGGGGCCTGAACTCTGGGCCTGGGCGCTGTCCCTCAGCTCTTCAGCTCAAGGCGAGCACTCTACCACTTGAGCTACAGCGCCACTTCCGGTTTTCTGGTGGTTTATTGGAGATAGGAGTCTCACGGTCTCTCCTGCCCGGGCTGGCTTTGAACCGCGATCCTCAGATCTCAGCCTCCTGAGTAGCTAGGATTACAGGCGTGAGCCACCAGCGTCCGGCAGGAAAATATTTTTAAGGGTAAGGAACTTGGTATCTGTTAAGAGCGAACTTGCTCATCAAAGCCATTACAACAGGGCTTATTCAACCTCTCCATCTTAAGAGTTCACTCAGCCTCTGTGGCTCTATTTTGCTTTTGTGATTCCATCTTGAGACTAGATTCTTAGGGTTTGACATTGAAAGCTATGTATCCATTGTTCTGTTTATGTTCCTAGGCAGCGAGTCATAGAAACAGGTCATGCTGTCCTTGCTCAATGCTTGCTTACAGCATTGTCTAGCTGTAACTAGACGCTGTAACTTCCTGCTTGGCTTGCACCTGCAGAAAAGAACACTTTGGGACTTTCCACCTGTGAGCAAACAAGGAGGTGGGTTTTCTGTCTTAAAAGGGGCCCCTAGAACAGGCCTGGGACTGCACTTTGGGCACCCGGCTGCCCAGCGTAATCCGGGTTGGTAATAAAGACTTTCTATTGGTTGTACTGTCTGTGTGGTCTCTCTTGGTGGCTTAACCCACAACACGCACTGAGCCAGGTGCTGGTGGTTTACATCTGTAATCCTAACTTCTCAGGAGGCTGAGATCTGAGGCTCATGGTGCGAAGACAGCCCAGGCAGGAAAGAAGGAAATGGAGCTGTGTCTGATGTGGAAGAGGCTAGCCTTGAGAAGGAAGCTCAGGGACAGAGCCTAGGCCTGCAGTTCAAGTCCCAATACTAGCGCGCATGTGCACACACACACACACACACACACACACACAGCCCTGTGCTTCAGAGATGTTATTGTAACTAATCATCCTACTGGTACTACCAATGGGTACTTGTACTACCAATGGGTACTTCTAGCTTCATCAGAAAAATGAAAGTCCAGGGAAAAGGGTTAGGGGAATCTTACCTGGGGACTGGAACTTTGAAGCAAGCCTTGCTTTATCTAGTCATTTATTTCATGGCTTGCTTTCTCACTGATACAAACAACTGAACTCATTTTTTTTTTTAAGTTTTAAAATGTTTGCTTTTTCCTTATTGCCAGTTCTGGGATCTCCCTTGGCTTTTTCTGTGTAAGGTTAGCACTCTATCACTAGAACCATGGCTCCATTTCTGACTTTGCTGGTTAACTGGAGTTAAAGAGTCTCACAGAATTTTCTCCATGAGCTATTTGAATGATGATCCTCAGAGCTCAGCTTCTTGAGAAGGATTACTAGGGTGAGTCACCAGGACCCTTGATGTCTGAAGTAAATAGGAAGTAGTAGAAGTGTAGTAGAAGTACCGTATGTCTTAGTTTTGTTAGCAGGCTTTTTTAAAAAAATTGAGATTAGGTGATTACATAAAATCTACATACTTCACAGTACTGTGGAATAGTGACACTTAAAGTCACAAACACATTTTAACCATCACAAGGCAAATTGTCACCATCATGGTCTATAAAGTTTGCGAATGCTATGAACTTTGACAATACAATCATTTCTTCCACATCAGATGATGTTTCCATTTCTTTCCTTTTGCTTAGTGTAGGCTGTTCCCTCTTTCCCTCCCATTCCTCCCTTCCCATCACTGTCTTTGGGTTGCTTAGTTGTTTTTCTTCTATGTCCAGTGCAGCTGATGGGCCCATTTGTTGTATGTTGTTCCGTTTCCCACTTATTCTTAGTAGGCTGTTTTATCCAATGAACATTATTTTAATAGCCTGTGGTGTACCAGGCACAGTTGTCTAGTAGGCTAAAAATACAAATGATGTAACCAAAATACACTCATTAGCTGATCTGATTAACAAAATACATTTCATAGAAATGATTATAAAATGCATTGCAGTTAGGAACAGAATATATTTTATACTTACATATCTTATGGTACCCTAAACAATTATTAATAAAAACCAACCAACCCAAATGGTAAACAGAGTGAGCAACCCACCAGTTCCTTCATTAATTCAGTTAGTAAAAGAGAAAGATATACAGTTGCCATGCTGAAATAGGTTTTATCATGGTTTAAACCTAGCCAACCTACAATCTTAAAAATTTCAGTGTTTTTCATCTGGCATTAAATCACCATTACAACTTTTGGTTTAAAGATTAGTTTTGGCTTCAGAATTAAGTTTCATTTAGTATCACCTTCTCACAGCTCACAGATTCTTGACCTGAGGTGGCTGAGAACCCATGTAATTAAATATTAGTTACAGAAACAAATAAAACATAAACAGGATAGTTTAATCCACTCTATTTAACATTCTTACTAAAACTGCATTGAGAAATTATGATACAGATATGATTTACATCAGAACATAACAACAAAAGAATGAGAAAGAGAGAGAAAAAGAGAAATGTCAGTTCTGTTTGAAGCAAGCATGACTAGTTAGACGTTCATTGCATTTCTGGAGACTCATGGCTAACTTGTAAAGGACCACATGGGCCTTGTGGGTCACCATGTATCCCTTAGTCTGAAGGCTGGTGACTTAAGAGATGGAGGGAGAGAGAAGGAGGAGAGGAAGGAGTGTTCATTGACAGTGAAGATAATCTGGAACTACAGGCATTCCACAGTGTCCTCCTGGCCCGTCCTGAGGCCTCCCGAGATGGGTCTGTTTTCTTACGCAGCAGCAGCAACAGGAGCAGCAAACACTTTCTCAGAGAGACAAGATCAACTTTTATTGCACAAGAAGCAAACGATTCCCCTTCTCCCTTTTCCTGAGCTGGAGCTCTTCAAGGGCAAACACAAACAAGCTGATTCTCATCCGCTCGTGCCTCCGACCAGCAGGGGGCGCTCAATAAGAACCCCTCGCGAGCACCTTCTTCAGGGGAAACTGAGGTATTACGTTGGTCCCAGCGGGTCTGGTTGGTCAGTCACCATTCTCTAGCAGCTTTTGTAAGTTGTTTTGAATCTTGAAATAAGAAAAGAGAAGCTGTCATTAAACAGAAAGGAGGATTTTAGGAACATATTTGCTGTGGTTTGTAAATGCTTGAGATTAATTTACTCTACCTTGAGACTAATCTACTCTACCTTATGGATGTATTAAACTTAAATGGAGTGGAATTAGGGGGAAGTGGGTTAATGTGTGTGTATATGAATATGGTAAGTTGTTTCACACAAAATGAAATGAAACATTAAAAAGTGGGGAAGAGGGGAGAAGAAAGAGTAATGGAGTGAATTTGATAAAAGTGTATCATATGTATATAGGGAAACATCCCAATGAAATCTCTGTCTAACCAGTACAGGCTGATAAAGAGAAAATGAGAACAATGAGCTAGAGATACAGGTGTGACCCGATACATCCGGAGCCAATGTGGTCTTCACAAAACACGTCTGTAGTTTTAGTTAGACAATGTTACCTCATAATGTTGAGATCATAATGCACAACATGCCCAGGAGGATTACAAATTTCATAGGGACAAGATCAACCATGTCCTGTGTTTGGGCCATACGACTCTAGTCCAAGGTTGGCCATTAAAAACACTCTCAGTGTTGAATAAATAGATTTTAAAGAATTCAGAGGGAGGCAGGCACTGCAAATAACTAAGACTCTGATGGGAGTAGGAAACCCTGGGGACCAAAGGAACAGAACCTCCTTTTGTTGTGGTATCATATTTGTCCATCCAAACTCATGATGAACCTTAATCCCCGAAGTTACGGGTCAATGTTAGCTTGAGGTGGCTGTATTATAAGAAGAGAAGGAAATACACAGTCAGCAAACTAGCTCTGTCTCACTATATGAGGCCTTGTGCTATTGTGGGACCTTACAGAGAATCCATCAGTAAGAGGTTGTTTTTTTGTTTGTTTGTTTGTTTTTTTAACTGTATTTTTTTTTGTCTTTTCTTTTTTGGTACTGGGGATCGAACCCAGGACGTTGCACTTGCTAGGCAAGCGCTTTGCCACTGAACAACATCCCAGCCCTGTTTTTTGTTTTTATGGTGCTGGTCCTGGGGCTTGAACTCTGGATCTAGGCCCTGCCCCTGAGCCTTTGTATTCAAAGCTAGTGCTCTATCACTTAAGCTACAGCTCCACTTCTGGCTGTTTTTGGTGGTCAATTGGAAATAAGAGTCTTAGGGACTTTCTTGCCTGGGCTGGCTTTGAATTGCGATTCTCACATCTCAACCTTTGGAGTAGCTAAGATAACAGGTGTGAGCCACTGCTACCCAGAGCAAGATTTTTCTTTTTTTCACTAGATATAACTCCTTGATCTTGGTTCTTCCAGCTTCTAGAGCCATAAGTTCAATACATTTTTATTCTTTATAAACTATTCGGTCTGTGGTATTTAGTTAGGACTAGCACATCATTTGGAGCCAACCATGGAGGTGCATATGTATAATCTCAGAAAGGCAGAGATGGAGGATCTTGAGTATAAGATCCTGAGCTACAGTTAGCTCTAGGCCAACTTGAATTATGTTGCGAGACCTTACCTCAAATAACAACAACAAAAAGGGAAATGCTACCCTTTGGAGGCGATCTGTGATGGACAGGTATACTCAGCGGACGCAAGAGAAGGGGGTTCTAACACGTATGTGCTGGGATTTGATGGAGGTTTATCTCAATCTGTGACACCACACCGAGAAAGGATACACACAGCAAACAGAGGGCCAGAAAGAGTAAATAACAAACCACTTTCACAAGCAGTAACTTGCAGAGTAGGGAGAAGAAGAAAGGTCTGACTATGAAATTCATGATCTTTCTACTATTTCACTCTACCATTAATAAGAAAATAATTACATCTTTACTCCCTGCTTTCCTCCCTCCACATTCCTGTTCCATAGCATTCCCGCCCTACCCTCACCCTCAGGAATGAAGACAAGCAGAAAGACAGAGAAGGAAATGAAACACAAGATTGATATCTAACATCTGCAAAACATCAACAACCCCCCTCCCCCCCAAAAAAAACCCAAACTCCAAAACAACAAAAATCCCAACGTGTAAAGCAAATGGCCAGTAAATATATGAGCTGTGGAACTTTAGTAGTAATTAGAAAATACAGAGGAAAAATCCGTGAGATTCAGTTTTACAATGTCAGACTGGCAGTCAGGGGTTGGCTGGACCAAGAACGTATGAATGGCAAGAGAACTGGAGACATTTTTCCAACAAATTAACCACTTACTGGTAAAGTAGGAAAAGAACAGAGGTGGCAATTATTCTCAAAATTCTCCCATGAGGATGACCGAGAGAGCAGTGTTCACCATGACTTTACTGTGGCTGTGAGGCCCTACCAGGTCTGCAGCACACCCAGCACAGGGCTGCTATTTCGCCCCAGGGCTGTGCTGACTAATTTGCTGATTGCTGAGGAGAGACAACCAATCAACAAAAGCTCGAACTTGGATGTGAGGGCGATCTGGCTGCGACATCTGTCACTGCATTGATCGCCAGGGTTGATTCGGCTGATCTGGCTGGCTAGGCGGGTGTCCCCCTCCTCCCTCACCGCTCCACGTGCGTCCCTCCCGAAGCTGCGCGCTCGGTTGAAGAGGATGACCATCCCCGATAGAGGAGGACCGGTCTTCGGTCAAGGGTATACGAGTAGCTGCGCTCCCCTGCTAGAACCTCCAAACAAGCTCTCAAAAAAAGCTCGAACTTAACCCTAGCAACTCAGGAGGCTGAGATCTGAGGATTGTGGTTAGAAGCCTATTAGGGCAGAAAAGTTTGTGAGACTCTTATCTCTAATTATCCACCCAAATGGCTGGAAGTGGAGCTATGGCTCAAATGGTAGTCAGCATCCAGGCCCTGAGTTCAAGCTCTAGGACACACACACACACACACACACACACACACACACACACACACACACACACACACACACACACAGTTAGGATGTGGCTTGTAACTCTTTTAAACACATATCTTTGAGCAATGTGTGCAACTTGTAACATTTTAGAATGCGAACTTCTTAGAATGTGCGTTTTGTCCCAAATCGACTTTTACTTGGTTCTGGTTGGGACAAAGGCAGGCTCTAATGGTAATGCTGGGTGTTGGAAGAGCAGCACTGCTCTGCCCTGAACACGTCCTTCTGTTACTTGTCTCCTTCTCACAGAATGTGGTGTCCTGCACAGGCCTGGTAGGAGAGGGAAGAACCACAGGGAAGGTAGCAGGATTCTGTGTGTTTCTCTCCAAAGAACATCATTTGAATGTCAGAATGAGGAAAAGCAGAAACCAAAGTAATAGAGAATCAGTGCCCAAGCACTGAGTTCAAGCCTCACTACCAGCACAGCAACAACAAAACAAAAAAAGAAGAGAAAGAAAACAAATACATCCTAGTCTGTAAGTCAGCACGAAAGCCAAAGTTCTTTCTTAAAAAAAAAATATGTTCAATTCTCAGAAAACACAACGTGTTAAAAAGAAAAATAATTTTAGTAACGAATCTATAACTTTTCTAGGCTGATACGAAATTCAAAAGCATTGTTTCCATGTTTGCCCAAAGATATAATGACTTTTTTTTGGTCTGGGCTTGGTTTAGATCAGCAGTTTGGAAACTCCTTGCTTAGTTGTTAAATACTTGATAACATTTAGGGTTGGAAAACAAACACAGTTTAATTTTGCACCTTTGAATTTCGTATTTCTTCCCACACAGCATTATTATACAAAGCTACCAAAATACTGGAAACTTACAATTAGTTCAAATGAACACAGGATTTCCCACCTATACCTTTTCTTAAGGATTAGAGTAAAAAACAAAGTAGTTATCAGGTGGAAAGGGACAGAAATGCTGAAAGGGGAAGAAAGTAAGACCTAGTAACTAGACTTGATTGTGGCATATTTCTGAGATGCTTATCCGCTAGTCTTAGTTCAGCCTCCTGTAATCTTCCAAGAATGTCACAAGCTAGGGACGCTCTGTCCTGGGAGGTAAGTACCTTTAGGGGCAGAGCTGCACTCTTGCCTTTATCCATAATACCTAAGGCTGGATTCTGAGCAGCAGGATAGCAGAGGGCTGGTTTATTTCTTCAGTGCTGAGACTGAACGCAGGGCCTCTCACAGGCTAAGCCTGTGAGAGCCCAAGCAGGGCTTCTCAATACAAATTTGCCGCTGAACATCCCTGGTTCAAATTCCGAGTCCCTAGTAAACTTTTTACATACATGACCGTGAGCAAGGGAGTTTGAAACTCCATTCTTTCCTTATCAGCTAGTAGCAATGACATCTACTTTCTAGGGTCCTACTATGGACTGAGTGCAATTATTCTGGGTCTTGCAGGAATCAGCCTGGTGCAGTTGTAGCTGCATCTTTGTTCAGCCCCCATAGCATTTGCTCACTTCCCACTGGGGCCTTCCAGAACCCGGGGTTGGTGGTCACACGCCGCTGGCCTGCTGGTACAAAGAAATATGTCCAACCAAGTAGGAAGCACAAAAGACAGACCAACTAGGCCACAATTTTAAGGCAAATGTTTCTTCATTGAAATACAGAGTTTCTTTTTACACTGATTTTGCAACCTCTTGAACAAGGTTGACCACCTGAACGTAGCTGAGTGTGCAAGCCTTGGCTGATTCAAATGACAGGAGCTAGTGTGATTATGCACAGGAAAGACGAAAGTCACCTTTTCTAGTTTCACTATGTTGGCTGTGAGCTCTTGGCAGAGGACCTCCACGTTTAACTGTACTTCAGACCCCAGGCCCGATGAGACAGTCTGTCTGTAAGAACAAAGAGAAGAGTCATTATGGGCAAGGAAGCAAGAGACTGAACGCATTTTAGATCTAGCGCAAGGGAAGACTAGGCTACGGCAGAGGGAGAGAGCACTTCTGAATGTGTTAGGCCTTGCAGTAATGCCGAGCCCACACCGGATATGTAGAAGACTAATCCCTTCAAGCTTAACTAGAAATCTGTTACACTACTTTGGAGCAAGCTGTGGCTTGGCTTCTAAACAAAAACCAGACCATTATTCCACCGTGATAGACACTTACAAGGATTACTGCTCATTTCAGGCACAGACATTATTGTTTTTTCCTTGAATAGGAGTGATCTCTAGTAGAACTTTCAGAGAGTTTGGGAATGTCTTATCTAGATTAAGTTGCCACTGAAGTAGACTTTTGAGCTGATTCCTTGAGATCTGTCATGCAAGTATAGTTGGCCTTGCCTTACACTAAAGTAGGTGTAGTCAACGTGCACTACTGAACTATTTGTCATGGGCTTTTACTCCGGGGTCTTGCATTAGCTAACAGTATATAGGAAATATGGGAAAGCACAGCAAATACATATAATGGCAGAGAGGGTCTGAAGCTATTTATGAGATATTCTACAACAAGGTTAAGAACCCTGGTCTGTACTGTTTCTATATTTCCTGCTTTTGATTTCATGTTAGTTGGATGTCAGTGACTGGTCTCATTGGTTTCACCTAGGGTCTACTTTTGAGACAGAGGCATTTGGTACATTATGATGATGATTATTTTTGGCAGTATTGGAGTTTGAACTCACCCTTAACAGGCTGGTGCTCTACTGTTGAGCCATGCCTCCAGCCCTGGTTTTTTGCAGGCTAATTCTGGACATTGCCTGTGTGTGTGTGCACATGAGCTATGATCCACTTATTTTAGGCTTCCCATTGTTGCTGAGATTACAAGCATGTGCCACAAGTCTAGCTTCTCTTCACAGAGTTGGAGTCTGGTGAATTATTCTGCCTGGGCTGGCCTGGAATTTGGACTCTCAGTCTTAGCCACTTGGAATGACAGGTACATGTCACCAGAGCCAGCTAGTGTTGAGGAGAGGTCTCCAGAACTCCATTGCCAGGGCTGGCCTCACATCTAGTTCAGCTTCCCAAGTAGCTAGGATTACAGGCATGAGCCACAGGCAACCAGCTCGCTTGGCAAATTATTGGCAATTATCCATATCTTAACAATTATCTGTTTTCTAGTGCTGAGACAAATACTGCACTCCTAATCTTCAACACATAGAAACAGAATGTAAATCTCAGATTTTCTAGATGAGGGAACCAAGGCCCAGAGAACTGTCATTCTGAGTGGCAGTGGTGTTCTCACTCCTGCGATGGGAATTCGGGGGAACAGCAGTCCCTGAGGAGCTATAATCGACAGCTGTTGGTGAGCTACAGCTGGTAACACGTATGGAGTCTGAGGGAAGGGGCTTCTGCGCATGAGGAATCAGGCTGCCCATGTGTGGATTAGTGTAGATGGGTTACTCCGGGGACCTGGGGAAGCTCGGCCCGGACTAGCACAGAAGCAACAGGCTTCCCTCCACGGGTGTCCCTCCATGTTCTTGAGCTTCTTGTGACTGTTCCTTTAAAGATCTATTTTCAGACTCCTTCCTGAGTAGGTTCTTTCAAGAGGAGAATGAATATTCCACTTACTTATGGAATTTCCCCTCCCCTCACTCCCAAGTTAATGAACCGATAACAGGACATGAGGTATTATTCCTATAACAACGCCTATGTGACAGTGAACGAACAGCCTGTAGAAACACTTATTAACTTCAATTGTACTGGCATTCTGGACAAGATGGGAAAATAAGGGGAGGATCTGAATCTAGTGCACACAATTGTTTAGGCTTCTGTATTTCATTGTGTGTGTGTGTGTGTGTGTGTGTGTGGTTTAAAGTGACCTGAATACCAGAATACATGTAAGCCACTCAAAAGAGCTCCTAGGGTAATCAGGCGAGAAGAAAGTAGGTCCTAGAATGGTGTAGTACAAAACTTCTCAAAGTTCTCAAAGAAGTCCTAATCCCCTACCTACTGCATCAGAAATTTGGGAGTGGATCCTTCAATATCTCCTCCAAGACCTCTAGATAATACTGGTGCACACTAACGGATGAGAGGCTCTGGCGGGCTGGGAAGCCCAGGTAGCTATAGAGACCTGCATTTATACCATGATTGCATCCCACACTGTAACAAAGTCATTTAATTATTTGTCTCAGTCTCTGTTTCCTCATCTGTGAGACACAAATAACAGCTTCCTACAAGGCTACAATGAAAAATAATGAGGTTAAAAATCATTTGACTTGTACATGTATATTTCCATTTTGATAATGATTCTGTCAGATGGTAGGTTCTATATAAACCCTGCTACTTAAAACTTGAGGCTGAAAGTATGCTTTCTGGTGGAATGTAATGATTTAACTTTATTTTTCATTCTATACAACAAAATCCTCAGGTAAATATGGTTTGGGAAATAATATGTCTGAATAGATTTAATTAGGTTAGGCATGTTGAAAAGTGACGCATGACAAAAGTCTTTATAGATGTATTCAACTGACTAGTAAACAGATGAACATTTACAGTGGTCAAGAAGTTTGTCAATAAGTTATTTAATATGCATGAGGCTCATGCTTGCTGACACATGCTGAGTTACTTGAATTGCTTCTTTCACTGCCATTTCACAGAGACAAACTTGTACAGTCTAATAAATAGGCTGAAGATACCATCATGTCTTAGGATCACAGAGGCAGATAATTCAGTGTTAAGTGTGCTTCTGTCTGTTTCCTTGGTGACACTGTAATTCAGGAATAGTGCAGGGGTAGGTCATTTATTTCTATGGCCCTCCTACCTCTTTACTGTTCACATATACACTTAACCCAATGTCTCCTCGAGAGTGTGTTCTCGATTCATATTTGCTAAGCAGGATGCTAACTAAGCTCCAGGGAATTGGACTAATCTGAGCAGGGAACAGATGTGGGCTGGAGGGGAGGGTCTTACTCAGTATTGTGAGTGTCCACAGTGGATGTCAGGGACCCCAGCTGCTCCTCCAGAGTGTTAATTCTGTATCTCATGTAGAAAGTGGAGATGATAAGTGCACACACACTGGAAAGGAACAACAAGACATTTCCAATAAGTTAATGGCAAGCACCTGATAAGAGAAACACAATAACGTCCTACACTGGGAGGATTTTCCAAAATAACTTGGCTAAAGAGATATTGAAAATGCCTTTTGAAGCCCGGTGCTATAAAGATTCCATGTGGAGATTTATTTAGAGAACTCATCATTCACTTCTATACTTACTAGTCAAGAGATTACTTACACAACTGCATAGAATATAAGAATATGTTGAACAGCTGGACATTTAGGTAAGATTCCAATTGTTTCTGACTGACCTGTTGGGTTAAAAACAGAAAAGGAGCAGCTTAAGACCAGGAACCTGAGGCTCATGCTTTTAATCCTAGCTATTCAGGAGGCTGAGATCTTAAAGGTTCTAAGTTAGTCTGGGCAGAGAAATCCCTGAGATTCTTATCTCCAATTAACCACTACCACCACTACCAAAAAAAAAAAAAAAAAAAAAGTCAGGAGTGAAGCTATGTTTCAAGTAGTGAGTTCAGCCTTGAGTGACAAAGCTAAGGACAGTGCTAAGGCTCCTAATTCAAGCCCCAGTACCAGCATATGCACACATGCACAAACACACTAACAGTTTAACACCATAGTGCAGTATAGTTCTTTCAAGAAGTACTTGTCATTCCTAAAAAAACATCAACCAAGCCTCCCAGTGGCTATTTTAGACAATAGCTTCAAGACTTTCCAACAGTTTTGTTCAACTGTTTTTCTTTTTTATTTTTTTATTTTTGGGTCCGGTAGTGGGGCCTGAACTCTGGGCCTGGGCGCTGTCCCTCAGCTCTTCAGCTCAAGGCTAGTGCTCTACCACTTGAGCCACAGCGCCACCTCCGGCTTTTTTTCTTTTTTTTGCTTATGTGGTGCTGAGGAATCGAACCCAGGGCCTCAGGCATGCAAGGCAAGCACTCTACCACTGAGCCATCTTCCCAGCCCCTCAACTGTTTTTCTTAATGGCTATTTTATGAAGGGTTTCTCTGGGGACATATGGTCACTGGAGAACAAGAAATGACTTTCTGAGCTCTTATGCCAGTATAACTAATAACTAATGACTAGAACAATAAGCAAAAAAAAAATCTGAGTTTTACCATCAAAACTGTGGATTATCATTTCAAAGTAACTGGGATAATGAAGCAACTTTCATAAAGGGAGAATATGAGAGGCCGATCACCTAGTGAATTCAGAGCTGGATGCTATTTGTTGAATGAATAAGTGAGACTATGCAGAGACCTACAACAGGAGGGGAGGAGGAATATGAAAGGAGTCATATAAACGAAACATTGGGACTCTTTAGAAGTTCCAAACAGCCAGGTGCTGGTGGCTCAAGCCTGTAATCCTAGCTACTCAGGAGGCTGAGATCTGAGGATCGTAGTTAGAAGTCAGCCTGGCCAGGCAAGTCTGTGAGACTCTGACTCCCAAAATACTAATGAAAAATTCAGAAGGGAGCTGTGGCTCCAGTGGTAGAACGCTAGCCTTGAGCAAAAAGCAGCTCAGGAACAGCACCTAGACTCTGAGTTGAAGTCCCAGGACCAGCACACACACAAAATTCAAACAGAAATAGCCCCATGTCCATAAAACCTTCAGTTCCTTACCATGTGTGGGAAGGTTCTTGGCTTTGCCATCAGGCACTCTGTTCACATGGGTGTCGGCCCGAGGTGGTTTTGCCTCCCCTTTGGTGGCATTCAGAACTGTCTGGGATTCTGTCACGTGGAAGTCTACCAAGCCAAAGTGAGGTGGGGTCAGTTTGTTCCCAGATGGATTTGAAAACAGCATCAACCACAAAGCAAATCAATTCTTTTCCTTCTTTTTTTTTTGGGGTGGTGGTGGTGGTTTTGAACTCAGGCATTTGCATACAACTCAGCTTACTTGCTTGGCTGGAGCTCTACTACTTAAGCCACACCTCCAATTGAGCTTCTGTGGTGTGTGTGTGTGTGTGTGTGTTGCTACTGGGGCTGGGGCTTGAACTAAGGGCCTGGGTACTGTGCTTTAGCTGTTTTGCTTAAGGATGGTGCTGTACCAAATTGAGTCACAGATCCATTTCCAGCTTTTTGCTGGTTAATTGAAGATAAGAATGTCATGGACTTTCTGCCTGACTGGCTTTGAACCTTGATCCTCAGATCTTAGCCTCCTGAGTAGCTAGAAATACAGGCATGGGTGAGTGACTGACACCTGGCCTAGCTGAGCTTTTCGGTGGTTGGGTTGGCTTTGAATCTCAGTCCTCCAACATCTCATTCTCCGTGGTAGCTAGGATTAGTGGTGTCAGCCACTAGCATCTGGATAAAACAAATAAATTCTGAATCTGTACAATGGCCAAGAATATACATGGATTGGCACAAGTGGGGTGAGGTGGGTGGATTAAAACCCAATGCTCAAGAAAATAAGTAATAAAGAGATCCTGGAGCAGTTTGCTTCTTCAAAAGGCTAAAGCCACAACAGTGGATACTATTACTGCAGCGAGAGGTAAGAAAACAGTGCACACTGTCATCCTAATAGAATGTCTTTGTGTGGTGTGTGTGTGTATGTGCGTGCACGAGTGCGCGGAGTTCTGGGGTTTGATTTCAGGGCCTTATGCTCTTGCTTGGCTTTTTTTTTGCTCAAGGCTGGCACTTTACCACTGGAGCCACACTGACACTTCGGAGACAGGATCTTGTGAATGCCCCAGGCTGTTTCGGAACTTGCTTCATAGCCCAGGCTGGCCTCAAACTTTTGATCCTCCTGCTTTTGCCTCCTGAGCACAACACCATATCTGGCTCATTCTGTCAACTAATGAGACATTTCTTAAATACACATAAAAAGGAAATGAGTTTTTACTCTAGAAAGACATTTCCTTTTCTTTGAACTTTCAATACCCCCTTTCAGACTCCCTCTGCATCTGTTAAATAGGAAGAGTGCGGAGTGGGCTGCGCGTGTTTTGCGGGGAGTTAAGTTTGAGGCAAGATACAAAGATTTTCCAGACCTCGGGAGTTCTCTGATTCCGGAGTCTGAGAACCCGAACTGCTGTATCCTTCCATGTCCTGCCTTCTTTGTTCAACCACTCCATCGAGGTCTGAGAATTCATCATTGAAGTCCTGCAGGGACACAGTGACAGTAGAATGTTCTTTAGTGAAGGGCAGGCCTTCGTAAGCCCTGGCTCACTCTCACTTGACCCACAGAATATGGGGAGAAAAGGGACTGCCCTCTACTACTGGGATTTTCCTAACTGATCAGGTTCTGGTTACTGAAACTGAGATTCTTCTGGCTGCTTAGAATTCTGCCAAGAGACAGTAGCCAACTTGTTTGCAATAACAAATGGCTAGAAAAAAACAACAACACTAGAATGTTAATGGTGTAAAAGCATCCAAGCTTGAAACTAGAGAAGCTTCATTAATGCTTTGTAATAAGGAAAACGGACTGCTGTAGACACTTTACAAAAAGAAAACGTGAACAGAAAGTCAACGATCCAAGTTTGAATCCATGTTTTAAAAAAGAGAACATATTGCTAAAGTACTGTTTACAGAAAATACGGAAAGCAGAAAAGGAAAAGCAGGTTGCAAATTGGACCAAGAAAATTAGAAGCTCCTTAATCCCCCTAGATCAATCAAAACAGGTCAGACACATGACATTTATTATAGAACGGTGACAGGGAAGCAAGAAACAAAGCAGAGTAGTTCTATTTGGGAAACCACCAGCTCCTCTAACGGAGGTCCCAGGTGGTGTCATGAAAGTGTCCTGGCAAAGATACAATTAGGTTGAGCTTTTAGCAATTCCGGCAGCTGCCAAAGAAGAGACTCACCTTGTGACAGCTTTTCCCCTTGAACTTGCTGTCCTGTCTTTGGTTATTTAAATTAAATTCAATTTCATTCAAGAATTTACAGGTGTGTGTGTGTGTGTGTGTGTGTGTGTGTGTGTGTGTGTGTGTGTATGTGTGTTTGTGCACTAGTGGCTCAGAGAACTGAGATCTGAGGTTCTCAATTTGGAGTTAGTTCAGGCAGGAAAGGCCCAGAGACTCTTTTCTTTAATTATCCAGCAAAAAGCTGAAATGAAGCAGAAGCCCAAGTGGTAGAGTACCAGCCTTGAGTGGAAAAGCTAAGGGAGAGTGTGAGTTCAAGCCTCAGTACTAGGACCTCCCAAAACAATTATAGGAGGAAGGAAAATTAAAAAATTAAAGCTCTTCAAGTTTATCAAATGCCTATTCTGTATAAGATTATGCAAAACTGCTTATAAAATTACATCTAATCTCCATGGCCATGTCATGAGGCTGGCATGTCAATAGATCAAGGAACTGAATGTGGGCAGGGACTGCACTTGCCTGGTGACCAAACATGACTGTGGGGACCCACAGGTAAAACCAGGTTTGTCACATTCCAAGCGTTCATATTTAATTGTTTTGACTTTATGGAAAGTGTGATACTTTGCAAGACTCTCTTACAATGTCAGGAAGTGACAGAAAACAGTTCCTGGGCAGCAGCGTGACTGTGACGGGAACTGAGCAATGTTCTATGGTATACTGTGCTGTGTGGCTAAGGCACAATGTTAGGTTAGGTCTATAAAATGCATTTTTCATGGGATTTTCAACCCATGCTGGGCTTATTAGGATGGAAACTTATCATCTGCAGAAGAGCATTTGTAAATGGAATCGTATAATATATGGTCCTGTTTTCCCCACTTAGTATAATGTTTTCAAAGTGGAGCCTCTCGGTAACAATGTATGAGCATTTCTTTCTTTTTTATGGCTAGACATTATTCCTTTGTGTATCTAAATCATGTTAAAAGATCCATTCATTAGATGAAGGACATTAGGCTCTTCCTTCTCACATTTTGGTCATTATGAATAATGAACAATTCTTTTTAAATAACTTTTAAGTAGTTGTACTGAGAGGTTAGTCTCCAATTCCTGTCGCAAATTTCTGAGTGCTGAGATTACAGGCATGTAGCACCATGCCCCACTTGTGAACATGCTTTGAATCTAAATAAATAAATAAATGCACATTTTCTTTTTGCGTGTGTGTGCCAGTCCTGGGGCTTGAACTCATAGCCTTGGCTTATTTTGCTCAAGGCTGGTGCTCTATTTTTTATTTTTGGGTCCGGTCGTGGGGCCTGAACTCTGGGCCTGGGTGCTGTCCCTCAGCTCTTCAGCTCAAGGCTAGCGCTCTACCACTCAAGCCACAGCGCCACTTCCGGCTTTTTTCTTTTTGCTTATGTGGTGCTGAGGAATCGAACCCAGGGCCTCAGGCATGCAAGGCAAGCGCTCTACCACTGAGCCACCTTCCCAGCCCTAGGCTGGTGCTCTATCACTTGAACCACACCTCCACTTCTGTTTTTTTTTCTGATTAAATAGAGATAAAAGGCTCTTGGATTTTTCTACTTGGGCTGGCTGTAAGCCAGGATCCTCAGATCTCAGTCCTGAGTTTCTGAGATTATAGGTGTGAGGGCCTGATATTTCCCAGTTTGTCACAGAGAGTGTGTACAGGGCTTTGTGGTATGAGTCGTGCCCCACCTCATACAGACTTGTGACTCTCTTTAAATGATGTTACTGGTTGTGGATGTAGGTGAGGAGTTGAGCACTTGCTTAGAGTATGTGAGAGAAACAAAGCAGACCTTATAAATGGGTGGCTCACCATCACAACCTACTATCGTGTAGAACTTTATCTTCTGCAGAACAACTCTCAACTACTACAAACAAGCTTATGGCCTCCTGTGGTTCTTCTCCAGGAAAGATATGCTCTGTTTCTTCATCTAGGCCTCAAAAGCTCTGCTCTTATGTTTTCCCCAGCCCTGCTCACGGTGTAGGCACAGTGCATTGTGGGACACACTCCTTTTCTTTTGCCTTTAGCAAGCTATTAGGCAACTCACCAGAGGCAAAGATGAAGGGCGGTCTTCCCGGAAGCTGTTTTCAGGAGAAGATGGATTGGGACTGTTACCAACACTCGAATTCTGAAATTATTGAAACAACGTGAAAAACTAGACCAATCACAAAACCATACAAAATACAGGAATGGAGGCTCAGGATGCCACACTCACGTCTAAGTGTCCACACACAGATCTGAGCAGTTTGTATGTGGAATCTCTGGAGAGTAAGGAGACGAATATGTACTGAAAAAAAAAAAAACAAAAAAAAATCATGATTAACAAAGAACCTCTTGAGGAGATGAAAAAGTTCAGAGTTCAAAATAGTATCTGTAATCCAGGCCCAGGTGGCTTATACCTGTAATCCTAGCTATTCAGGAAGCTAAGATCTGAGGGTTCTTGCCCAGGCAAGAAAGTCTGTGAGACTCTTACCTTCAATTTAGGACCAAAAATCTGAAGGGCAGCTGTGGCCCAAGTGGTACAATTCTAGCCTTGAGCAAAAAAAACTGAGGGATTGCGTGCGCGCGCGCACACACACACACACACACACACACACACACACTAAGTGGTACAATTCTAGCCTTGAGCAAAAAAAACTGAGGGATTGCGTGCATACACACACACACACACACACACACACACACACACACACACACACACACACACACACACACACACACACACACACACACACACACACACACACACACACACACACTACCAGTGGCTCATCCCTGTAATTGGAGGTTGAGATTTAAGGTTACAATTTAAAGCCAGCCCAGGCAAAAAAGTCCTTGAAACTCTTATACCATTTAGCCAGCAAAAAGCTAGAGGTGGAGATATGACTCATGTGGTAGAACATTAGCCTTGAGCAAAGTATCTAAGAGACAGCATCCAGGCCTTGAATTCAAGTGCCAGGACTGGCACAAACACACATTAAAAAAAGGATTGCTCGGGCTGGGAAGGTGGCTCAGTGGTAGAGTGCTTGCCTTGCATGCCTGAGGCCCTGGGTTCGATTCCTCAGCACCACATAAGCAAAAAGAAAAAAGCCGGAAGTGGCACAGTGGCTCAAGTGGTAGAGCACTAGCCTTGAGCTGAAGACTGAGGGACAGCGCCCAGGCCCAGAGTTCAGGCCCACGATCGGACCCCCCCCCAAAAAAAAAAACAAACAAAAAACAAAAAAAGGATTGCTCTACAGTTTTTATGTTTTTAAAAGACACAGACCATTCTCTCATTTATATTCTTATTTTCCTCATTCAAACACTGTTTTTATTGCTTTTCTGGAATAAAGCAAGTATAGTCCTTCCAAAATAGCAACAACAAAAAAATCCCTAAACTCTATTTAGGAGCAGTAATAAAGAAATGTAGGTCAAATGAAGCCTTTAAAAGTACGACCAAGGTGCCACACAAAAGCCTGGAAAGCATGGGCGCTGTGACATCGGCAGTGTCCTTGGAGTCTCACCCTCTTCAATCTGGTTTTTGTTTTGGAGGGCATTGAAGGATTCCCACGGGCCCGCTTTCTCTGCCCTGACCCAGATTTCCGCTGCAAACTTCCCAGCGGCTCTGCCTCGTGGGCTCATTTTTCCCAAGCCACCTCTGGATTCTTCCTTATACAAATATGGAGATTTCTAGTGGATGCTTGCAAGTGAGCTATGGGAATGGGATAAAATCTGAGGTAGACATATAATTTGGAGACAAATGATAGATGGGAAAAATTTACTACAAATGGAACATTCAGAAAATATTCAAAATATTCATCCATTTATGTGGGGGGGAAAAAAATCCCAGGATTTTGTGCTGATCCTCCTCATTCGCCAATAAAAGACGTTGATATCATTTCCAACATAACAAGGAACAAATACTTGTCATATTCCAAAGTAATTAATACTGTGGGTTGTGGCATTAGACAGATCTAGTTGTAAATTTTAACTGTGATGCTAAGTGAACGCCATTGGGAAAATTGTTGAACTGTGCTTTCTTTACGGGATGAGAGAATGGGATTAAATAAGAACAGACAAAGAAAGCCCTTGATTTATGCCTGACCATGAGTAGTACTAGTATTACTATTTAAAAAAAAATCCTAAAATACATACTTAGCTTATTTTCAGACTAGCCTCTTTTATCTTTCCATTTCTTTTCTCCTAAGTTATCCAGTAGGATAAAAAACTGAATATAACTTTTATGCTGCCATAAAAATAGCAGGTATAAGATGAAAAAATGGTTTCTAATGTAAATGAGCAACCAGATCCCTCTACTCCATTTCTTGTATTAAGCTAAAACAAATACTGCTTCCAATGGAAGCATTTCTGACTGCACGTGCCTGAGATAGCCCAATAACCAAGAGCAGCTCAATGATCTGGGCAGAAGGCAGGCTGCTCAGGCACCGGGCAGCCTGGAGAATCCCTGGAGCTCATCCTGAAGCTGCACTTGCAGAATAGGCCTGGGGTTCACGCATGCGGGGTGGCTCTAGGGAGGAGCCGACTGGGGTTATGAGGAGATAGTTGCCTCACCCCAGGATTTCCCAGTATCATCCTGCCTCACCCTGAAAGCAGGTGGTTGTTATTGTTTCCACTTAAGCAATAATAAATTAACTGGATATATCAATTTGTCCTGATGAAAAAGATGTTAGGGGAAGGAAACTCGGGAGGGTGTTTTTTTTTTTTTTTTTTGGTTTGTTTATTTGTTTTGGCCCTATATCAGGCAAATCCATTTAAATCAGCAGGAAATTCAAACTTGGCAACAATTATGTTAGAATACACCATCTTGTGGGGAAATGATATTCCATAGATGTCTCTACACTATACTTTTACAAATGCGCTTTCTAGAAGATCATCTGCCTCAGACATTACAACAGATGATAATATTTACGGCGCAGGGTCCTAGCGACTGTCAGCAGAAGGTTTATAAGGCAAAGGAGTCCGGAGCAGGCCAGAGGGAGAGGTAGTCTTGCTCTTGGAGTACTTACCCTGTCCGTGACTGTTGTTATGATCAGAGCATTTGGCACCAGAAGAGCAGTTTTGGTTTTCTTTATTAGGGTTACTGAGAAAGCTGGAATAGTGATCTGAAACAGAAGAACCAACTTAATACTGGCTGAGATTCCAATTAACCATCAAAAAGCCAGAAGGAGGCTCAATTGGTAGAGCACTAGCATTGAGGGAAAATGCTAATAATGGACAACACGCAGAACCTGGGTTCTAGCTTAGCACAGGCACCAGACCAAAACCAAAACAAATAGCAACAAAAAACAAAACGAAAATAAACCAACCAACCCACCCACCAAAAAAACCCTCCATGATTCATAGTCAGCGGTAGAGTGACTGAAAACTCCGAGATTACACAGGCCCAGGAGGGATTCTCTCTGACTCTAGGCAGTGTGAATGGGTGAAGATTAGATTTTCCCTTCTTTACGGGAGAGTTGGGGAAGGCGTGGCAGGAGGCAAATGACCGTGTCCTGTTGCTTTTTTCTTACACTCAGGATGTCACATACCTCAGTTTCCCCACACCCATATTTAACGAGGAGGAAGAGGTGTGCACCGGCAGGCACATACCTGGGGGTACAGGTGTGTGATTTCCCCAGACGGTGCCTTACATGCTCATTTACAGCCCTGACCCCTCTTCTCCTGGGAGCTGGCACGAACACAGTGCAAAAATAGATATGTTAAAAAGTGTTTTGGTTTCAAACATGCAAATTCTTTAAAAAGAATGTGTTCATGCCAGGGCGTGATCCCAGGGCCTCCCATATTCACCCGGCTTTTGACACGACTAATGCTCTACCACGTGAGCCACACCTGCAAGCTCTAAACTCATTTGAAATGAAGCAAATTACGGCACCCTCCCATAGGAATGACGTAAGCATCACAGGTGACACCTGGGTAAAGAGGACTCAGGATACGGGGCGGGAGCATCACGGCATGGTGCGTGTGTGCATATGTAAGGAAATGAGTGAACCTGCTGCATAGGGAAAGAGCAAGTTTGTGTCATCTGGGTGCATTTATTTCTGCAGTGTTCGGATCCTCAACAAGAGACACAATCATGCTATGAAATTTAAAATAATTTGAGTGGAAAAGGAAACGGGACAAGGATAGAGCAAGAACACTCAATGCATCTATGTAATAAAGGAAGCGGGCTTTGAAATGAGCAGATGGGAAGGGAGAATGAAGACGCACTGAGCTTGAATAAGTAGAATTGCCCTCGTTCTGGTCCTCCTATTCTCCCTCCCACATTCTCCTTCATAAGGTATTAAACTTAGGGACTTGTGCTTGCCAGACAAGCGCCTACCGCTTGAGCTATATACCACCACAGCTAGATGTCATTTCTAGTCCTTACACTAACCTTAGTGTCTTTTCCAAAGACCTTGGAATGAAAACAAATCCAGTTCTCTGATATAAAGAGCTTTCCTTGGTACAGTATTTCTTTCTGTAGAGCACATGTAAAACCTGGGAGGAAACAGACAGATGTAGTAACATCATTTAGAAGTCCCATGAAAACATCATTTCCACTTAAAATAAAACCTGCATATGTTTTGCTGATTTAGGGATAGAGATAATAGAGATGAGAGATAAGACACTGTACCCCTGCGTTCTAGCACCTCTTTTTCAGGCTTTTCTTTCTACTGTTTCTTGTTTTGTTTTCCTGAGACAGGGTCTTGTTGTGATCCTTCTACACAACTCTAATGAGTACTCAGATTACAATTGTGGCCTACCATGCCTGGCTCTTTAGTCATCTTTAGTGGAATAAAACTGGTGAATAGAGTTTGTTTTTGAATTCACAATCTTAGAGACTTCAGAACGGCAATCAAAATGGAAGACAAATCTGCCACTGCCCATGAGAAACCAAGGATGATGCTTCAGGAAAACTCCAGGATTTGGGACAGCTGCCTGCCAGCCTTGTGCTAACAGGACCGTCTGGCCTTCCTTCCCAGATCCTCATTAATGATGAGCTGGTTGCTTCCACTGGGGGCAAGAACACATGATGGCTCCTTTTGCTCGGACACCACAGCTAGAACCCAGCAGCTTGCTTTATCATTGGGAAGCAGACAGGCTGGAACTGAACCTCAAGGCCCATGATGGGCCCCTGCTGAACTTGCTTGCTGCGAGGCTGTTTTGATGTGACCGCCACATCCTGGATAGCTCTAGCATTACCTACAGCTCTGTGAACTCACACTGGAGCATGCACTTAACCTCAGCCCAGGCCCGTATCCTAACTCCTACCATGATTCAATTGCAGACATTTCAGCAATCAACACAGAAGGCAGGGAGGCCATTGTGGAACAGTTCTAGATGATTCCTTATCAGCTTCTCATTCTTCTTTACAGTATGCTGGTACTGGGGCTTGAACTCAGGGCCTGGGTACTGTCCATTAGCTTTCTAATCCAAGGCTAGCACTCTACCACTTGAGCCACAGCTATGCTTCCAACTTTTTGGTGTTTAATTGGAGGTAAATGTTTCATGACTTTCCTGTCCAAGCTGGCTTCAAAAGGGGAATTCTCAGTTCTCAGCTTCTTGAATAGCTGGGATTACAGGCGTAAGCCACTAGTGTTTGACTTCTTTTTCAGTGTTTTAATGTAAGGTGACTACATCTGGCACGATGGCTCCATTCTGTTCTTCTGGGTGAAACAGTCTTAGAAAGTGCCCTCCCCCCCAACGACTTAACAACTTTTCAAACGCGTCAGAACTTACTTTGTCTCAGAGGCTCCTCGGTTGGGACTTCAAGGAACAACTTGTGAAAGTGCATGTTTGCCTTGTACTGTGAAAACAGAATACAGGCAGCACTTAACTTCTTGTCAGGCAGCACCACAATTCTGAGCTTTGGTATACATTAAAGGACAAGTGTTTCCTCACTAACACTTTTTTTTTTTTAACCACCAATTCATCCTCTGTCATCTTCAGTAAAACATAGGAGCACAGATGTTCATTATGTAACATGATGTGCACTTTGTTGAACTTACTAACTAAGCAGCTAGTGGACATTGAAGTATCAGGCCAGACAAAAATGTTCTTGATTAAAAAAATGGGATGCGATTCTAAGCCATCTCACTAGGGAAGATTCTGGGTTCTCACACGTGCGTATGTAAGTGAGTGCCCTCTGAAAAGTAAGGGCTAAAAGTTTTGCACTGAAATAAACCTGAACTTGAGTCTTGCCTCCATCGCTTCCTTGGTGTGTGACCAGAGTCTAGACACTTAACTCTCCTGAGCCTCTTCTGTGACAGAGAGCAAAACCACTTCCGGCTTTAGAGGGACGTCAAGGGCTTCCTGGCATTGTGGGTCTCAAGAGCCCTTGCTTGGGTTCTGCTGCATAGACTATGACTAAACCGTGGTGAAAGCCTTTCCTCTGTCAAGGCAGGACAAGTAGTATTTCAAATAAAAGACTGGACTCTGCAGGGCACTGGAAGGGGAAGGAGTCGGAAGTGTGGGGAACTGCTTCATTTTTAAAGCCTCTGTCTCCAGCAATCTAGTTTGTAAAATGTTTTCACAATAACCCTAGGAAAGCCTAGCATTCTCACTCTAGCCGTAGATGTCACAGCACAGGGCTGCTAGGAGGCAGAGCGTGGTCCTCCCTCCCCTCTTCCACAAGACGCCCGCTGCCCTGCAGGATCTGCGGAAGACAAAGTCTGATAAGGAGACAGGGATTCTCCCAAGTCCGCCCTCAGTGCTTTCTTATGCACACCAGGAGTGGTTTCCACCACACAACTAGCCTTACTGCTATAAAAGAAAGTTCCAGACCAGGTCATCAAAATGCTAGATGGTCCCTGCAAGTCACTTTATACAACCTACACTAACTGCTGCTTCCTAAGAGTACATTTTGCAGCAGAACCCTGGAACTTTGGTTGAAAGTGAGTCTAGTCCTAGATCTCCATTTTAGCTGACATGTGAATTTTCAAATCCTCAACTCTGCACTGGTGGGGAGGGACACTGAGATTTTGGTTTTCATGGCTGCAAGGGAGTCTTGGTTTCAGCCTTAATTTTTTTTTTTTGGGCGGGGGGCCCAGTCGTGGGCCTAAACTCTGGGCCTGGGCGCTGTCCCTCAGCTCTTCAGCTCAAGGCGAGCGCTCTACCACTTGAGCCACAGCGCCACTGAGGAATTGAACCCAGGGCCTCATGCATGCAAGGCAAGCACTCTACCACTGAGCCACCTTCCCAGCCCCGGTTTCAGCCTTAATTAAAAATATCCTAGGCCAGTTAGGCATGGTGGTGTGTGCCTGAAATCCCAGCACTAGGAAGATTGAGGCAAAAGGAGAAAGTTAGGCAAGTTGGACTATATAGATTAAGGAAAGCAAAGGCTGAGATGTTAGCTCAGGGGTAGGTAGGGTACTTACTTAACGTGTGGAGATCCTATGAACAACATTTGGTACTACAAAAAGTTAACAATAAAGATAAAAAAGGGAAGAGGGAAAGAGAGAAAAAAGAGGAAGAAGAGAAAAAAAGAAAAAGGAAGGAAGAGAAAGAAAGAAAAAGAAAAGTGCTAAGAGCTGGTGCTTCATGTCTATTAGCTACTCAGGAGGCTGAGATCTGAGGACTGTGGTTCAAAGCCAGCTTGGGCAGGAAAGGCCATGAAATTCTTATCCTCAATAAACTCCTCAGTAAAAGCCCAAAGTGGTGAAGTGGCAGTGTGGCTCAAAGGGGTAGAGTGTTAGCCTTGAGCAAAAGAGCTCAAGGGTAATGCCCAGGCCCCAGGTTCAAGCCCATAATTGACAGGAAAAAAAAAAGAGAGAGAAAAAAATATATATTCTAGGCCATGGACTGTTCAAAAAAATTAGTGTAATAAATGAAAAAAAAAACACAAAAAATATAGTAGGACTGATGTAACTTAAAACCACAGTAACACAAATTCAATATTTTGACTCCTGACTGGATCCTCAAGATAAAGAAAAGACCACTGTTATAAAGGACATCCTTTACTAAGACAACTGTGGACACTTAAAACAAATTTGATATTTAGTAAAATTCTGTGTATCAAAAAGTAGTTCATTTTAATGCCTCTTCTTAGGAGGTACATATTCAAATATTTAGGGATGATGTGTCAAAAAAAGAGAAAAACCGGGTGTGATGGCTCCTGCCTAGAATCCCAGCTACTCAAGAAGGCTGAGATCTGGAGGCTCATGGGTCAAAGCCAGCCCAGACAGAAACGTCCAAGATATCCATCTCCAAAATAACTACCAAAAAGGAATGCAGGAGACATGGCTGGAGTGGTAGAGCACCAGCCACGTAAATCCTGGTACTGTTGTTAGCATGCACAAGGTCCTGGGTTAAATCCTTAGCATTAAAATCAAAGACCAAACAAAAAAATAATCAAAACCCCACAAACTTCTGACCTCCGTGAGCGTTAGACTCTGTGACACAGAATTAGGCTTTGTGGCCTGTCTGGGCATGTTTCAGGGAATTGGAATTACCCACGGAAAACGTGACCCAATGCACAGGATGACCCTGTGCACAGGCCTCTCATGGTGCTCTTATTAGACTCTGAACTTCCTTACAGGTGTCACGCCTTCCCCTGTCCTGCTGGTTACTGACTAGTACTGGTCTGTGTGACCTTAGCTCCCTGGGTTCCCATCAGGGTTAGAGGTCACAGCCATATGCATGGAAGGGTCAGCTGTGGAATCTAATACTGATGAAAAGTTGACCAAAGGAATGGCTTCCCATGTGCTGTTGTAAATTCGCTGGGTTTTGTGCCTCTGTTAGGGATAGCCAGCAGGATGCTGAACCCTAAGATTCTTTTTTTTTTTCCTCTACTGGCTCCAGTACTACTGTAAGTCTTGGAAGCCATATACATTCCAGTTTGCACTTACCTGGCTGGAAGATGAAGATTTTTTCCTTTCAGTCTTAGGGACATTTTTGCTTTCTGTTTTGCATTCGTTCTTGTCACCTGACACAGTCGCACCTTCAAAACTGGATTTTGACCTTGGGAAGTAAAACCCAGGAAGATCACAAGATGAACTGTCTGTGTCACGTATTAATTTACTGTAGCAAATCTCTATTATTACACATGTCACGAAGGAGCCCAACATTTGGTTTTCTCTTCTAGATATTCATAATCACTTCTGAGACATTAAGGGAATTTGTCTAGCACAAAGCTCAGCAGGTTATCATCCCAAACTGCAGAGACAGGGACTTACAAAGGGACAAACAGCGATGGAAATGCGAGTCATCATATCACTTCCAAAGTGTCTTAAGCAATATAAAGAGGAGTACTTGAGGCAAATTACTAAATAAAAATTGCAGCTGAGGTTAAAACAAAGAATAATTCTGTTCCAGAATCTATTAATATTTAATAAGCATTAATTGAGAAGGGGCATTGTGCTGATGGCCTTGGGAACACAAGAGAGTCTTTATCCTTAGGAAGCCTACACACACACACACACACACACACACACACACACACACACACACACACATGCACGCACGAAAAATTAGCTTTTTAAAAAGTCAGTACATAGCTGGGTGTTGGTGGTTCATGCTATAATCTTTAGGTGAGATCTGAAAATTATGGTTTGAAGCCAGCCTGGGCAGGAAAGTCCATGAGATTCTTATCTCCAATTAGCCACCAATAAGCTGGAAGCGGAACTGTGGTTCTAGTGGTAGAGAGCTAACCTTGGGCAAATAAAGCTCGGGTACAGCAGTACCCAGGGTCTGAGTTTAAGCCCCAGCATGCACACACACAAGGCAGTACACAATTTAGCAGTATGCACTAATAGGGGTGGAGACACAATACCAATAGGAAGGGAAGAAGAAATCCACAGAACAATACACATTTGATATATAGGACCTAATAGGAAGAGCAGAGATGGATATGAGGGAAAGACAAAACATTCCAGACTGAGAGAACAGTACAAGTGAAATGTGGAGGGGGAGTAAGAATATGTTTATCAGTTTTATTTTATGTTCAAAAGGGATTCATTGTGATATTTACATGTTGGCATATATGCGTCTAAATAGCTTCTGATCAAATTTACCCTGAAGGAAACATATTTAAATCTAAGTCTTCCACTGTCCTGTTAAAAGCAGCGGTCAGAGGCCCAGATTTTCTTTTTAGGATTATTCTAGTTCTGAGAATCTAGAAAGTTTGTGCATCCTTTCAACCATAAAGCTAACAGCAGCAATTTTAGAGTGGAATGCATGATTTCTAGAGTACTATATAAATGAGTTTTGTAGTTATGTAGTTGCTTTATTGTTTATGGAAGAAAAATGGTACATGTGACATCCACAACTCTTCATTACGATTCCTAAAAATGAGGCTCTGTTACTTATTTGGTTCAAAGTAGATTTAGGAAGAATCTGAAGTAATTTGGGTGCCATAGAGGGACAGAAATGACTGAAGTTAGACATCAGTCTCTGGTTTTCTCAGCTGGGATATCTCAGGCCTCTTCCAGCCCCAACAGCTCATGATTCCACAGTGCTCAAATCACAGGTAAAATACCTGTCAGTAGATCAAAGCACATGCATTCGATCCCCACCCCCCTCTCTCTGTCTGGCCAGCAATGGGGATTAAACTCAGGGCTTGGGCTCTGCCCTTTAACTTTTCCACTCAAGGCTTAGTGCTCTACCACTTAGCCACAGCTCCACTTCCAGCTTTTTGGTAATTAACTGAAGGATGTCATGGACTTTCCTGTCCAAGCTGGCTTTGAACTGCCATCCTCAGCTGAGTAGCTAGGATTACAAGCACTTGGCTGGATTTGATTTCTGCTACTGGTTACTGAATCTATTCACCAGATAGAAATTCCCTGGGAATTCTAGAGATCATTGTTTTGGAAACTATAAACAAACATCTGTACTCTTCTTGACAATAAAATTATTTTGTAGCTTTTATTTTAAAAAGTTGACAGTTTTGGGAATTTAACAGAGCTTTGTAGACAGGTAGGACCTGACAGGCAGGTGCTATACCACTTAAGCCATGCATGCCTCCAGGCCTTTTTGCTTTATTTTTCAATTTGGGTCTTGCTAGCTTGGACCTCAATTCTCTTATTTATGCTTCCTAAATGGCTGTGATGACAGGTATACACTACCTTACCCGGCTGGTTGAAATAAGAGTCTCATGAAGATTTTGCTCAGGCTGGCCTCAAATTGTGATCCTCCTGACAGCCACCTCTTAAATTTTTCTGAAAGTCAAAATAATAATGCCAAATGGAGTGCCGGTAGCTCATGCTTATAATCCTAACTATTCAGGAGGCTGAGATCTGAGGATTCTGGTTTGAAGTGAGCTCAAGTAGAAAAGTCCATGAAACTCTTATTATCTTCAATGAATCAGCAAAGAGCAAGAGGAGGTATGGCTCAAGTGGTCAAATACTAGCTTTGAGTGGAAAAGCCAACAAGAGTGCCAGGGACTAGTTCAAGCCCCAGTACTGGTACCAAAAAAAAAAGCCATTAACTGATTATAGTGGCTTATTTCTGTAATCACAACACTCAGGAGGCTGGTGCAGAGGACAGTAGTGAGCTTGAGGCCAGCCTTTGCTACATAATGAGACCCTGTCGTACACGGACAAACAAAATGATGTCATTTATCATAGTACTACTATGCCGATTCAAGTTAACCTGTGCTGCTGGGACTGCCAAGAAGATGGGCAGATCTTTTGCAAATCTAAGGACTCCTACAAGTAGAGCAGTGCTGCTTCTGATGACTGACTGCAAAGGGTTAACAGCTCAGTAATGCGCATCCTGTCAACCATGCGATTCTCACTTGCTACAGGTGCACAGGACCAGAACCAGAAGCAACGTGAGACAGCAGTGCAGGGGCCCTTACACGAAGACAAGCAAGGGTTTCCAGACTGAGCACTGTGAAAGGCACGGACCGTACGCCTGTGCTACGCAAGCAAGGCAGCCATCCAAAGCCCGAGGAAGCTACTGTACATACAACAGGGTGCGAGCATCGCACAGAAAAGGACACGCTCTGGGTCCTTGTGGGGTGCTCCCTGTGAGGAGGCAGAGATGCGCTGATGGGAAATGGCTATAGAAAAGGAAAGAGCTACAAATGAGGCATGCAAGAAAGACAGACACAAAGATAAACAGGAGTCTGCGAAGGGAAACGGAGGGCAGAATTAAGACTTACTCTTGGTCCTGAATGAAGCAGAGTTGGAGAGAAGATAAGGGTAGGGGGTCAGGAAAGAAAGTGAAAAGCAGGAATTAGGTCATCATTGCTTAACAGAGGTGGAAGGAGAGAAAGAAAGTAGCAGTTCGAACAGAATGGGGAAGGAGGGCAATCAGAGGCTTCAGTAGAGATAAGTACCGTAAGGGCAGGGCCGGGGATGTAGTAGGGTGGTGGAAGACTTGCCCTGCATATGCTAGGACCCACGTTCCATGCCCAGCACCACAGGAACACAAAGATCAAAACAAACACCACCAATAAAACAAAATAAAAAACAAAACAAAACAAAAACCCAGCCAAAACGCCCACATTCACCTGTCCCTAGGACCACTGGTTTACGTCTGCTGCATTTCAAAGAAGCATCTTTCAGCCCCTCCCCGATAGTTGGTGCCTCAGAGAGCCATGGGACCTGGAGCCGCCCCTCTCCACACAATCCCTCCCTGTCTAGCATCAAACCGAGCTTCCCCCACAGCCTGGGTCACAGGAGCACCGGCAGCCAGGCGGAGCCCTGGGAGGGGTTCTCCTCGGCCCCTTCCCAAAGGCTCCCAGAAAATCGAGACACCCCAGGCTGCACTCTGAGGTGCTTCACCCATCTACGCCTGAGCGTGGGAATCCCGCCCGCATCAATCAGCACAGCGGTGCTCCCCGAGGAAGCGGCTGTTTTGCTAGGCTGGGGCAGCGGCTGCCAGGAAGAGATGAGAGCAGATGAGGGCCAGCCCCCGCTCTCAGGAAAGGCCCTCCTCTCTCTCGCAGGGCATGGTCAGCGCGAATCAGTCCAGCTCTTCACCAGAGCCCCCACATAAAGAGCCGAGAGAGGACTCACCGCAGGCAGATGCTCTTTTTCTGGTCTGGAGATTCAGCTTCCGTGGATGGGGCAGGCGACTGGACTGTCGGGGACCTGCACACTTTCTTTCTGTCCTCCACACCATTCTCAGCCTCGGAGCTGGAGAAGAGAGGGAAGCACTTGATCTTAGACATCCAGAGAGAGGCGGACGGATGACCGATGAACATATCCGTCGCGTGTTTTGGAGTAGAATGATCTTCAGTTCTCACTGACAGGCTTGACTGGGATGGCTGTGACCTTTCCTGGGTCCATTCTAGCCCCTTCTAGTCCATTCTAGCTGGAAGGGCAGAGCTGCAGGTCACACCTGCTCCACTTGTAGATGTCTGAGTGTGCAGGCCCCTGCCCTGCTCGCAGGTCTGTGCTGCTCAGACTGTCTGGCCTAGATGTGTGCTGTAAAGCTGGGAGGGCCTTGGTGCACATGACACACACACACACACACACACACACACACACACACACGCACTTTATTTGCACTTCTCTGTGTCACTTACCACCTTTTGTTTGGGTTGTTGTTGTAAGCAAGCAAAGCAAGCACTTCCCTACTTTACAGTCTATAGTCTTTACAGGCCATGCAGGTGAGGCAGGATTTATTACCTTTGTTTTACAGGCAAAAACCTGATGCTCTCAGATCCATGCTGCCCACGTTCACAAAGCTACCAACTGTCTTGGTCAGGATTCAAATTCCATTCTGTCCATCTGCCAGGTGTTTGTTCATAAGTTCTCTCTTCTTCCTCACCCATCACCCACCCCCATCCTTCCAACAACTTATTAATCCATTTTTCCTTCCGTGAGAAAGCTCTAGGGTGAAGTGAGAACCCTACTCAGTTTTGCAGTAACCACAGGGTCTAAGATATAGTCAGGATTAGTAGGTTTAAGAAACATTAGAATTTGGAAAATGAGAGATGGAAGGAAGGGTGTAAGGGAGAAGACCAGTGAAGAGCGTCTGCCGACTAGGCCTCCAGTAAACGGACGAGCAAAGTGATGGATGTAGCATTTCTGTAAACTCCCTCCATCGGTGGCTGAATTGGGGACCATTTTCAAGATGAGAGACAAAGAATACTGAAGGTAGGATACAGAAGAAGGTAGGATTCATAGTTCAGCAGAGAACCCATCACACACACACACACACACACACACACACACACACACACACACACACCCTTGGAAATGAGAACAGTGTGGACAAGCCTCAAGTAAGACACACAAATCAAGCATTGCTATGACAAGTTAATTTTCATCTACGGCAGTTATTGATCAGACTGCGGGTAGACACAGCAGCACATACTAGGTGTCCTGTCTCAGAGGCACAAAGCATCGGGCAGAAATCCACTGGAGAAGTTTCCATAGGAAGACTTTCGTGCAGAGGGCAAGAATTCATCTTAGCCTTCAGCTGAATATTAAGTTTTCTGCAGGGTCAGGTTAGGACTCAAGGCAGAGCAAAAGCTGTCTTGTCCTTGTGTTTAGCAGGAGATATTCATGCTAAGAAGTGTCCCTTGGTGTGGGGATATCTTTCCTATTACATGGACTGGTGGGGATAGGATGCCCTGTGCTCTAGCACCGAATTGCAAGGGGAAGTTAATCCAGCTTGGGCTGGATTAGAACCCTTGATCTAGTCAGGCCCTTTCGTGCAGTGCAGGGTTCTAAGTGCTTAATGCTATGTGGTAGTTTGGCTCAGCGCTGAGATGCTCAAGGTATACCTCTCTCTGTTCATACTGAAGTAGCATCTTTCAGCATATTTCACCTGTGCAAAATACACAGGTGGGTTCCACTCAAAAGAGCCCATCCAGGTATTTTTCCACCCTTTGTTCTTGAACTTGAGCTTGTCTTCGGCACCGGCTCCCTCCTTCATGATCCTACCTGGAGCACATCTTCCTCAAAGCTTTCTGTCCTCCCTGGTCTCCTCCCACTGCACAGTCAGGAGCAGCAAACTCGTCTCCCCAAAGCCTCAATTACTCAGCAGGCTACCGAAGGTTCCGGCAGCCAGGGAGCTTCCCATTCTTCTTCACAGCACAACACTCATAATGTGCTCACAGTGGACATTTATATGTTGATTGGTGTGGGATTAATTATGGATTGCCTCATAAAAGAAGCAAATTCCATCTAGGGGTCATTTCAGTGTTAGGTTTCATTTACTCAAAGAGGGTACAGGCTCAAGCAAGTTAATTCCCAGTAGGTGAGATTTCTCCCAGCCAGGGTCCCTTCCCTTGGAGGTCTTGGGAAAACAGGTGAAACTGGGTATCTAAACAGTGAGTGGAGTGTGAGGAGGAGGAACAGAAAGCGTGTGGGGCCTCTCAGGAACTGAGAAAATTCTAGTCAGTGAAGCTGAACAGGCTTCATTTGATCACTAAAATAAGAAAATTGGTTTCTGTGTGTATGTGTGTTTTTAAACCTGAAGACAAGGTCTTTGTAGAAAGATTGACTGGAAGAGTCAACTAGAAAACAAACAAAAACCCAATCCTCTCAACAGGTGTTTACTGGGAAGCCCAGGACTTCCTAAGAGAGAAGTGAACCTGGCAGCTGTACCAACCCACAGATACAGAAGATGCTGGAAACTAGAATCAGGCTTCACATGGCCCAGACAAGTTACTTCTTTCCCCTTGTCTGCCAAGAGTATGCAATGGTTTGGGGCCTTGACAGCTTTTCGGCAAGAATTTCAGAGCTGCCAGACAATTATGATTATGCCAACTATGCCTCACTTCACCTAGTAGGAGACTGAATTTTTAGTACTAGCCAGGACAAGCTGGTTTCAATGAAACACTGCCACACACTGTTACACAATCTATAAATAATAATAATAAAACAACAAAAACAGGTTGGGTCAACTTTATCAACAACCCATTGTCACTTCCCGGAACTCATTAGCCTGATGATGACTTAAATTCATATTTCACAATTTGTTCACAATTAGATTGTTAAGTATAGGGTCAATTAGCATCTTTGTGGAGAAGGGCTTGTGAGGTAAGGCAAATTCAACATGCTTTTCTCTGGTTGGACCCAGTGTCCCAGGTAAGCATTCTGATATTTTCACATGCAAGTCCAGGTAAGTAAGTGAGTAAGTGACTTTTGAATACAAATTATGATTAAGCTGCATCTCAGGTGAATGAAAACAAGTACCTCACCTTGGTTTGGTTCAGAAAAACTAACTTCCTTCCTTCCTTCCCTCCCTCCCTCCTTCCTTCCTTTTTTAATTTTCTGTGCCAGTACTGGGGCTTGAACTTAGGGCCCAGGTGCTCTTTTAGCTTTTTTGCTGAAGGCTGGGCTTCATCACTTGAGCTACACCTCCACTTCTGACTTTTTTGGTTGTTTCTTAGTCTCAGGGACTTTCCTGCCTGGGCTGGCTTCGAACCTCAATCCTCAGATCTTGGCCTCCTGAGTAGCTAGAATGACAGTTACTGGTACCCAAGTACCACATTGACAATTTCCTGTTGTGAGTGTAAATTCATGTCAAATTATTCTAAATGAAGGCAGAAAAAAATTCTGTCACTGAGCTTCTTTAGGAGCGAACAGGTGGAGGCAATCTTACATGTAGTACATTTAAAAAAAAAAGATATCTCTGATCCTTACTTTAAAATCATGGTCTTGACCCACAAGGAGCCAGGATATCCATAAGGCAAATTCCTGAAAACGGCCAGGTCAGGAAATGGAGAGCCGCTGAGCACTGTCTACGCCGAACACCCAGCCAGCCCTGGGCTTGCCAAGACTGGTGCCTCACCAGCTCGTGTTTCTGAGGTGCTGTGGCTCGATGCTGTTGTAAGGTAAATGATCAGAGAAGCCACAATTTTGGAAGATGGAATCCTGGAGCCTATGACATAGTTAGTGGTCTGCACACAGCTTCCCCCAAGCATGAAGACAAGATGCCAGACCCTACCATCCACTATGTGGCCAATATGGTGCTGGCCAGACCTGACTTCCCTACTTCAAAGGAAACAAAGGACCTCTTCTTAATTTGTCTTATCGTTTTCAGATGACTCTATTCTTTACCTCACACACGGTGCACACACATGCACATCTGAGGGAAGCCGACATCCCTACTTCAATGTTTCTATGGTTTGCAGGCAGAGGTACAAAATTTGGAAAACAAGAGTTAGCCAATAATGGCGGAGGAAAGTTCTGGGAACTGTAGTCTCAGAATAAAAAGACATTCTTGTAACCACAAGGAAGGAGATTGGGGTGCCAAAACTCAAGAGGTTTGCAGGAGACCCGTTAGCTTCTCTAATTTGGTAAATTCAGAATTTCCCAATGTAGAGTTTTGCAAGTCAAGAACAATTCTATTTTACTGCATCCCTGTTTAGACATTTTCAATCAATCTATCAATGTACTTATATTTTGAACAGGAGCAGTACGCACCAGCATTAAACACAAGTTTCTAACGGAGACACACATTTCCCTCCTACACCTGTCGCCCCATGGCCCATTTCTCTCCCCAAGACCCAGCTTTTCCCAGAAGCTGTGTGTCCTTTGTGCACACTGACGTGTGTACCATTTTACATACAAATGATGGCACCCTATTCTTTGCTTCTTTTTTTGCTTATGTGTTTCCCCATCCCTACAGTCACACTTTTCCTCATTCTTTTAAATAACATCATAGAGTTCCATCATGTGGAATGAACTATAATTTAACCAGTTCCTTATCACTGGGCATTTAGGTGGATCTGAGTTTTTGCAAAATACGTAGAGCATGGCAATGAATGACTTTACAGGTTGATTATAGATGAATAGACCCAAAGGTAATTTCTTGGAAAGGCAACTACTGTGTCAAAAGGCACACTGCCCTAGATAGAACTTCATGACCCACACCCACAAGACACAGTGGAGTTTACACATTCTTATATGTGTGTGTGTGTGTATCTATATATCTATGTTCATGTCCATGAATATGTAGGTCCTTTAGGTCTAGCTTCCACATATAAGCAAAAACATATCTTTGGCCTATCTCTCTCAACATGTTCTCCAACTATTTTCCTGAAGATGACCTGATTTTTTCTTTATGGATGTGTCATATTCCATATCTGTATACCATTATCTTCTTTATCCATTCGTTTGTTGTTGGGCATCTCCGCTGATTCCATTTGGCTACTGTGAACTGCAGTCACATTGCT